CTTCTCCCGCTAGTTCTTCGTGATTCACTTTTATTATTTCAACCTTTTCATTATCATTTAATATTATTCTATATGAAAGTTTACTATTAATTGATCTTCTAACAATTGGCCATTTATCAAGCAAAACTTTCAGATCTTATTTTGAAGCCAGAAAAGATCTTTTTTTGATACATCATATGGCCAATGCAAATTTTCTAAATAGAACTTGACTAACTCCAAGTCTTTTATACAAGGATCGATACTATTACCTATTCTTAACAATAAAGAATCCATGTATTCCTCATCCAGTAGTCGGTTCTCAGGCATCACCAGGTCAGAGTATCGAGACAATCCATCAGTATGACTATACTTTTTACCAGACTTATAATATACTCTAAAATCAAAAGCTTGTAAGGCTATTACCTAACATATTAAATGTTCTTTCAGTTAAGCCTTATTAAAAAGCTATTCCAGAGCTTGATAATCAACCCATACATCAAATGTTATTCCAGCCATGTATCTCTCACACATGTTGTAGCCAAAAACTACACCCAGGCACTCTCTTTCAGTTACAGTATAATTCAAATCAGGTGTAGCATATGCTGGTCATCTATTTGTTCCAAGACAACACCCAACGCTATATCACTGGCATTGGTACTCATTTGATAGAGTTGAGTTCTATTCTTGGCAGCTTGCCAATTATGTTCTTTAAGCATTATATCAGTTATCATTTTGTGCTTAAGTAACTGAAATGCTTCGGTTTGTTTAATAGCCCACTTAAACTTTTTGTTAACTCAGTCAGCAGCTTTACTATTGCACTAAAATTCTTCACAAACTGGCAATAATAATTCATAGTACCTAAGAATACACAAATATCACAGATATTTTTAGGGGCTTTCTATTTATTAATTTTTTTTATATAGGCTGGATCAGGTTTTATACTTTCTTTTCTGACAATATAACTATACATATTTAGTTCTTTATAGAGCAGATGACATTTTTTGGTAGCGAAGTTAAGACTAGCATTGCTAAATATTTGCGCAAGCTTGACAAATCTGTTAATATGTTTCTCAATCGGCCTCTGGGTCCAAAGTCCTATGTCATCCTAATATGCTATAGCAATATGTTTTTACTCATCTCCTTAAAGTAACTTATCTATCAAATGCTAAAATGTTTCACTAGTATTTTTAAGGCCCATGCATATAATAGTATACCTAGAGGGGTAGCAATAGCTACTTTATCCTCATCTTTATCATGAATTTGTATCTGTCAATAGCCCTTGTAGGCATCAACCCTAGAGTACCAATTATAGCCTACTGCCTTTTTCAAGATATTATATATTATTAGCAGAGGATACTCATCCTTAATTATATACTTATTAAGTAGCTGCATAAAACCAACTACTCTTAACTTGTCAGTTCCACTTTCCATTTTCTTGACAGAAAAATAGTAATAGGCATATTAACCCATACCTTTTTCTAAAAGTCTATATTTCAACATGTTCTTCAATTGATATTCAAATATACAAGTGTGCTCTGGGTTGTTTATACATATTGGATATATATGCATTAGTGAAACCTCTTTTTCACCGGTTTTAACCTCATACTAGATTAGATTGGTTTTCTCTATTTCTGAAATATCAAACGCAAATATATCAGAAGTTCTATTTATTAATTGTTTTTCAATCTGCTTTCTTTTTTCAGCTGAAATAGTAGGCCTGAAGTTCAATTCACTACAATTATCTTTCATCAAACACATTATAACAACAGGCCCAGTATCCCATCCTTTAATGATACTATCATTTTGCTTATTTTCTTGTATCCAATAAAATACTTGTCCAAAGTGGTCACTTTTACTTAGATTATATGAGTCGATTGGCTCTACTTCCTTGATGATAAGTTTGTTTGCATTAGTTGCACACATTACAATATCCTCCAACTTCTTGTTTTGTTGCTTATTCTTTTCACAAACTTGTTTTTTAATTTTAATTCTTCGCACAACTATTATATCGTCCATATCTTCTTCATTATTATTGTCATCATACTCTGGTAAGTTAATCCAATTCTTGGGCACCATTAATACAACGAACAAGGCTTTTTTATAGTCAGATCCAATAGTACACTATAATTTGTTATTTTTCTATTTTAGGTTACATCTAGCTGCAGCTAATCAAAGCATATCTAGAAGTACTTCAAAGCTTGTGGCTTTATTATATAGAATCTTTGGATAACCTCGATTCCTTCAATTACTACCTTCTATTTGGAACATATCTAACAAACTCACTCAAGTGATCATCAGCCATTCGACCTTTACTCGTCACAGGTTTTCAAGTTAGACCCTTTTGCCTAGTGAAAAATTTGTATATAAGGTTCAACCTTAAACCAGGATTAATTGGAGCTTCAATTATTACACTGACTAGAACATTTCCTAATTTTAAATTTGTTCTAGTTTGTGCTCCCTTATAATTCTGATTTCAGCATCTACTGACAGTATATTGCTTTTCTTTTTTTTTCTAGTTAACACCTTAAGCACCTCAGATCTAGCTTTGGAAGACTATTTGAATAGTTGGCCTAAATTAATCAGAAGCTTGGCGATGCTATAGTTTTCAAAACGTCCAATTTCATTGTTAGCTCAGAGATCAGAATATATATTATAGATCCTTTTTTGTAATTGTTGTTATCTTCAGATATCTCATCATAGATGCTCTTTTAAGCCCAGGAAGGCATTTTATATTTATCCTCTGCATGCCTCCTTTTACCTAGGTTCCTTACATCAAATAACGATTTCTCTTTTTCTAACTTAATTTTCAAGTATTCATTATCTTCATCCTTAATTGATTCTTTAACTTCAAGATAATATATATTCATACCTCTAACCTCAGGGTTATCAAGTTGGTTATTTCTTGCTGCATTCATTTGATCATTAGATTGAGGTTGCATCATTCGAGTAGAACAATTCTACACAATATGTTCTTCCTGATTACATTCATAACACCTACAGAGCCTATTTGGCTGATTTCGGTTATTGGTATTCTGATTTTGCATCCTTTGGTTATGATATATAGTAGGCTCTCTATTTCCTTTAAGATTCAAGATGGCCTTGGTTAATTTCTTAATACTTGATTTCATTTTACATATTTAGTCATCTTGATTCACATTTTGTTCAACATGGCAAATTTTCAAGACACCAAAAGCCGAGGTAAGCTCATTCACATCTGGTTTGGTTACATTTTGCTCTTCATTTATAGTTCGAGTAGGAATTTTTACCACATACTCATTGTCTTTACCGTATTTTCTACTTTTAGCACCTACTTTTTTGCGTTATCGTATGTTTTTGGGATATTGCATTTCAACTTTTTCTTTAAATAGTTCTTTTAAACCTTGAACATACTATTGTCTTTTTTCCAAACCCTTACATTATTCTTTACAGCTTCTGCACATGCATCGAACATGTTTGTGTATGCTTTGATAGTGTTATTTAGTTTTTGCTTTACACTTTTTAATTGCTCTAACTTTTCTTCTATATCACAAGATGCTTGGGCTTCATCGATAATCGCAGTCTTTAGATCAGCTCACATTTTCTTAATCTTTATTTGCTTACATATCCAAGGCTTTAAGCTATCAGAGACATGAAGTCTTATTACTTGTTGTATTTTGTCTTCATCCCAGTTCTTTGATGCACTATACACTTTGTAATTCTCAAGAAATTCTTCAATATCTTCATTATCACATCCATAATATATGGGCTTGGTTGAATCAGAGACACCTATTTGTTATCGTTAAGTTAAGTATTGCCCTTTTGATTTTGTTTCGTTAGCTTTTGTCATTTAAATATTAATTAAAATTCTTTCCTTTTATTGTATTTATATTATTATATATATATATTTTTTTTTCTTTTTTGTTGTTGAGCAAAGTTCAACCTTCAGCTTTTGTTTGTTTGTTTATTATTTTATGGCATCTTTAATTATGAGAAGGTTTTTGATTTTTGTGACCAGTACCTTATTTTATTACAGAAGCCAAGTTCTGGCTTGTATTATCATGTTGGATCTTAACTACAAAAGGTCTTTTGATCTGCCCAGATTCTACCTTGTCATGCAGGTTAATAAATAGGATCATTCTATCTAATAATTTAGCTAAACAGTGAACCACTACTACAACAACATTGTCGACATCTTCACAAAGAACCACAAGACAAGTGACCAGCAATTTAGTATTAGACGCATATACCCTTTTTTTTATTTATTATTACACGACAGAACTGTTCTTTTGGCTTATTAAGCTCTACTCTTTATATACAAAATTTGCACTCTATTAGACTACAAATCGATGACCATATAGTTAATGCAAGATTATGCACAAGCTATAATAAGCTTTACATTAGTGATATACACATTATGCAAAATAGGATCTATACTATAATAAACTATTTGTATTACCATTCTGATTTACCTGATTTACACTTATTACCCTACCTATCTTATCGAATTACCTGATCACGTAGTCACATGATATCGTGAATATAGTTCATGACTAAAGTCTAAGTCTATAATGCCCAATATCTCACAAACATAGTACACAGGTACTGGTCAACAGCATGATACTATAGCACAAAAATTTATATTTGGAAGAAAGAAAAAACTAAAAGATAAAGCAAATAGATTGAAAAATACACTCTAAATTTGGAACCTTGCAAAGCTATATTTTTCTTAGACCATTTCTTTTTTTTATAATTTTCGATAAAGTGGAGTATTTGGCTACCCCTTCAAATGATTGGCAAAAAATTGACATTGTTTACTAATTCTATTCTTGAAAAGTCTTGAGTTGCAATATTACGAATAAGGAAAACAACAAACACATGTGAGAAAGAAGTTTTGAGGCTGAAATTAAAATCGATGATTATATATTAAGGCTTTGAAGTCAGACATTCTAGAACCTGAGTTGGATTTAATATAAGAGTTAGCAACTAGAGCAATAATATGAGATATGCAATAGTCAGAAGTCATAGGCATATAATTTTTAACCCTTAGCACAGGTTAAAGTGCACTGTATTATTTTTTGTCAAATAGCTCTATATATAGATTTCTATAACCATGTAGATAGTTTTTTACCTAGTTAGCAGGTTTTTATATCTGTAAACAAGTTCTCTTAGATTTAAGAATAGTCTTTTAAATTCTTTATATTCTGGTCATCTTCTTTGTATGTTTGTTTTTTTTATTTACCTCTTTTTTGTTCTACACTTATCTTTTTTTTTTTTACTTCTCTACAAGAAAGTATCATCAGATTGGCAGTATTCTATTGTAAAGCAGTGATTTTGACAAGATTAGTGAATCCTATCTGTTGATATCCAGGGTTCACATCTTCAAAAAGTTGAGGATCCTGAAAGAAGAAAAATTAGCACTTAGACAGGTCACTCCTAAATCATACTCTAGCATAAATTTAAAGTTTACCTTATTTTTATCATAATAATAAGATAGATTAAGAGATTCTTTATTTGTATAGACATATAGTATTTCTTATAGATAATTTAGGTTTAGCTAACTGAAATATCCTGTTGTAAGGTATTGCTGATTTAAAAAATAAAGGAAGGATTATTGAAGTAAAAAATATTCTTATATTCTTTTTAATAGTAGCTCAATAATATAAAATAAAACTATTATTTTTAGATTTTAATTTGCAATCAAAAATCAAAATCTAAAATATCTACTTTC